AATTCTCAGGGACAAAGTGGTTAAAGAGCAGCTCAAGAACGCCAAATTCATGCATCAAGTGCCATGACCCGTGCCGAGTCCTAATGTGGCTACTTACTATGCTTTGGGACAAACTACCACATCACACAATTGCATCTTTAACTGACTGCTCGGTCGCATAGTTACATGCACCCGGTCACTGTAAACTGGCCTGTCAATCATCTTGTCAATTAACCTCCACATTTAAAATAAAAAAAAAAACACTTCCCACCGCACTGGAGAGAAAAGTATCACGTTGATCTGCCAGCCACAGTCTTGATGCAGAGAAATGCCAATTTTTGCATGATGCATTTTAAATGTTAACGCCCAAACGGATGTTTATAAAGGTTGACGTTGCGGCACAAGAAATCAAACATTTTTACCTGGTTAAGTGTTGATTAGTACCTCAAACCCCTTCATCTAAACCAGTCGCTCACATACACCAGGCTAGTTGTTAACACTTTTTAAATAGTGTTTGTAGATCTGAACCAATTCCTAACCAAAGCACAACGGATTGTGGGCAACAGCCATTAGTGTACACTGATCCACACTTCAAAAATCTGAAATGGTAAACCATCCAAGGATTTTCAACATACTACACTTCCAGACAATTGTTTTAATCTTAATCACTCTGAGAGAAGACAGTGATGGCTTCATCACTCTGTCTCCTCTCCACCAATAAGCTGGTGTGTGGTGGGCATTCTGGCGCACTAAGACTGCCGTCGCATCATCCAGGTGGATGCTGCACACTGGAGGTGGATTAGATACACCCTGACAATGTAAAGCGCTTTGAATGCCTAGAAAAGCGCTATATAAAAAGTAATGAATTTATCATCATCATCTAATTATTTATGGACAGTATGAACATTGGGACGCAGGGATGGTTATTCTCAGTGATGACAAAAAGCACTTACCAAGAGGAACTAAACAGTCACTTAACTCAACCCAAGTCTCAGTGACCAAGTGGTCACGGAACAAATAAATTCTAGAGAATCAAGTGACATGACTTTACCCATGATTCTCAATGAAGGAATATCTCGGAAGAGCATTCACATCAGGTACTTGGGTGGCCACACAGTGGTCCAAAAAGACACGCAGTGGGACGTGGTTGTACACCTTCACAGATGCCTCAATATTAATAACATCACCCAGGAAGTACAAGTTTGAAGGCCTCTGATAGGACCAGTCATCTGCAAGAGGAAAGAACAGTTTAGGCACAGCCTCATTCACAAGGCTTAAATCTAAAGAAACTGCACAAACCCATCATGAGCTTCAGGGAGAACAGCAGGACTTCCTCGCCAACCTCCGTTGAGGCATAAGGGACCCAAGTTGGCCTCAAGGCATTACTGCTCACATTATAGAACCTGCAGTTCAAGGAGGTACCAAATAAACACTTCTACACTGCCCAAAACTCGCGTTTGAATCATCAGTGGCAAATCCTTTAAATGAAAACGTACTTACGTGAGTCAGAACTGCCGGCATTTTAGTCTAACGTAACTCTCCCAGGATCAGTAAACAGTCCTCCATAAAATGTGCCGGCGATCCACAGCACTAAGTTGATGTATTTCCTCAGCGACCAGCACGGATCAGCTCTAGGCATGACGAAGCGGATATCGTCCTCTTTTGGAAGATCAAACAAAGTAGTTTCGCTTTCACAACGAAGCACACAGCGGCCTAGCGTGAGCGAAAGCCCCGGCTTAGCCTGAGCTGAAGCCGGGCAAGAGTGAGCTGAGGCGGCGGGGTCGAGAACGGCGGTCCCGGCGAAGGAGCGGTGAAAACGGTGAGGGCCGATCCGGCGATCCACAGCACTAAGTTGATGTATTTCCTCAGCGACCAGCACAGATCAGCTCTAGGCATGGCGAAGCGGATATCGTCCTCTTTTGGAAGACCAAAGTAGCTTCGCTTTCACAACGAAGCACAGCGTCTTCAGGACATGGCGGCAGTGGCAACAATACTACAGTGAGAATAAAAGTTACGCCTTCTTTCTTTGTGTGAACATTTGGGCGGCGTTATGCAAATCTTCCCACATAGTGAGGTAGATATGTGGGGGCGTGTTCGAACGAGCCGTTTTAGGTAGGTGTGGCTAACTCTTAACTTTTATAAAGAATATCTCTTTGGATTTGAGACTTTAGTCTTTGCAACTTTACAGATCTTCTTTATGCACCAAGAGCTTGTAACACTCTAAAGAGAAAGGAAAAAATGAAATCGCATCATATGACCCCTTTAAATAATAATAATATTGCAGCAATATAATATATAAATAAAATATATAGATAAAGTTATGCAAATTATGCAAACATAATTCAATTCCCCTGTCAAGCAGAAAGAAACGGAGTGTATTTACTCCAAGACCAATTTGACCAATTTGTTGGCAGAGGCTATTTACATTAACTCCGCCCACCAACACCTGGCTGCGATAAACAGCACTGCAAAAGACACGTGTATTTCTGTAGTATCAGTGCTGCAGCGAGTAAAACATGAGCAGTTTGCTTTTGACACGATTGACCTGCGTTCGATTCTAGCTTTTGTCAAACTCGTGCTTCTCCTTTTCCCATTACATACCAGATCAGAAATGCTTTTTTCAAAAGTAAACATTTGAAAAGTGGAAATAAAACGCCTTAATACAGTATTGTGTAAGCTTAGCTGTAGGTAGGTTTTTGTCCCAATAAAGTGGCATTCATCTAAGAAAATTTATGATAATTTACACTCAATACATGTTATTGCATACTGTTCTATAATGTATAAATATCTGCCACCTAACTACTATTTACACACCTGTTGCAAAAGAAAATACTGCTATTTTAGTTTAAACAGAATTTCATTATTTGCACTTGGCATAACTAGAACACACTTTTGATGCAATCCGACGGGACTCGGGCAGAAATCATGTTCATGGATGAACTAATGATTTATTAGCGTAGAATGAAGCAGGGTGAGGCTGAAAGCCGTCGAAGCGAAACGAGTCCGCTGAACGAGCATGACACACGGCACGAAAGCAGCAGAGCTTTTATGCCACAGTCGACCGCTCCTTCCAGTCGTGCGTATGTGGGAAAAAAAAATAAAAATCATACTAAAGTTCTGTTATAATGCTACTCTGTGCAGTCGTCTAAGGTCTATTAAAACACACAACATAAAGCATGTTTGGTGTTTCCATGTTTTCTGAAAAAAAAAAGGGAAAGCGAGGAGTTATGACATCATTGGCAGGCTACACAATGACACGTTCTGTGTCACTAGTTAAAATTGCATCTCTCTGGATTTTAACATTCTTCGAAACATTTGGGATAAAGTACACAAGTCAGCAAAATATATAACACTGTTCTAGTGGTTTTTGTACATTTTAATAAAATAAAAACCATTACATATTGTGCCTTTAATGTAACTGCCAAAAATATAGTTCAATTAAAGACAGTTCAGTGTAGATTCAGTTCTGTCCAATGTAAAGTTCAATTATGAAATGGTCAATATAGCATCGTTTACTACTATAAACAGCTCCACGCTGGGCTGTTTGTTTGTTTTGTGACGATCTGTGTTTGCGTTTTGTCTGGTTCTTTTTTGTTTTTTGGACTACCGTCTTGGACTACTACTTTCGTTTTGGACTACTGGATTACTGTTCGGACTATTGTTGGATCTGCTGTGAATCCCTCTGGTTTCTTGGATACTACTCTGTGGTCTGTTTTTTACTACCTTGATTCAACATGGCATGCTTTGTTGCCACCGGGAACTTCTTGGTTGTCGGTTTACTGCGAGCCCTCTACCTCTTCGGTCCTCCATCTATTGGACTGACTGTCAGGTGAGTTAACACTCTTCTTGTCAGTTGGTCTACTGGCTTACTGTCTGGTCGGGTTCTAGGGTTTGGCGTGAACTTTTGTGCTGTGAATCCCTCTGGTTTCTTGGATACTACTCTGTGTTCTGTTTTTTACTACCTTGCTTCAACGTGGCATGTTTTGTTGCCGCCAGGAACTTTTTGGCGAGCCATCTACCTCTTCGATCCTCCATCTATTGGACTGACTGTCAGGTAAGTTAACACTCTTCTTGTCAGTTGGTCTACTGGCTTACTGTCTGGTCGGGTAGCCTTCCTCTCAGTGAACTTTTGTAGATGCTGCGATGATTGTGGTTCTGGCTAACGTGGTTTTGCTGATGGCTGGCGTTCCTATGGCAATTGCCAACATGTCAATAGCTCTAAGGCTCATTATTATTTTTTTGGTCACTATTGAATCTAACCCCAACATGGAAATTGGATATACGCCCTGTGAGCTAAAGGCTCTAAATGGCCACCTGCGTCTCGAACACTGCCGTACACTTGCTATCATTCGTCGCCCGCGTTATTTACGTCGCTCGTCTAGAAGGACTTTCAGTATTCATCAGCCATCGTCTACTGTGATCCCGTGCATCTGGTCGAGCAACAGAGCTCGGAGTAAGCTGAAACGTTCTCAAAGGAACTGTCGAACACCGTGAACACTTGTCAACACAACTAGGATTGACTCCATGGATAACGTTACCACCGATGGAAGCATTGTGGAGAAACACTGTGCTCTTCTTAATTGTCCCTCCATTTCTGACTGAAGATTTGTGTTGTACTTTTTTGCACCACTTTCAGGGAAAGTTAGATGTTTTATGTGGGACTTTTGATGAGGAACCGACTATTTCTAATTGTGAGCAAACTCAGTCTACCCAATCATTGACTACCTTTACCTTAACAAATCCATCTCTAATTGCTGATTGAATACAGAAATCGATTTCCTCTTCAAGCCGACTAGAACCTGCGCCTACTTTTCTCCTGAAACACTGTATCCCTGTTATTTCTGCCCCAATCTCACACCTCATCAACATGGCTTTCATTTCTTCCACTGTTCCTATCTCACTCACGACTGCTGCTGTCACTCCGGTTCTCAAAAAACCAAATCTGGATCCTGTAAATCTATCCAACTACCATCCAATCTCGAACCTGCCATTTTTATCTAAAATCATGGAAAAGACTGTTGCCTCTCAGCTGCAGTCATTTCTAGCTCGCAACAATCTCTGATATTTTTCAGTCTGGTTTTCACTCACGGCACAGTACGGAAACTGCTCTAGTAAAGGTTGTCAATGATCTATTACTTTCTGGAGATTCAGGCAGTTTATCAATTCTTTTATTACTTGACCTCAGCTCAGCTTTTGATACTGTTTGTCATAAGATATTATCTCGCCTTGCAGAGGTTGGCATCTCAGGTTCTGCATTATCCTGGTTCTCCTCATATCTCACAGATAGGCAATACTTCATCTCACTGCACAATTCCAAATCTCCCACTGTCTTGCTCAAACAGGGTGTTTCCCCAGGGCTCAGTTCTCGGACCATTATTATTATTCATCCTCTACATTCAGCCTCTTGGCCAAATAATTCGTCGTCATGGTTTTAACTACCACTGTTATGCCGATGACATCCAGATATATACTGCTTGTCAACCAGATTCTACTCATTCGATGGCATCCTTATCTTCATGTGTCAGTGAGTTAAAGCATTGGCTACATTCAAATTTTCTTAGTCTGAACTGGAGTAAAACAGAAATTTTAATAATTGGTCCCCTCTAATAAAAAAATAAAATTGATGTTTCTAGCTTTGACCTTGACGCTATTGCTATTTCTCCATCGGCTACTGTTAGAAATGTAGGCATCATTCTAGACCCTTCACTGACCTTGGATGACCACATTAGTAAACTCGCCAAAGCTGCTTTTTTTCCAACTACGTCAAATTGCGCAACTTCTTCCTTTCCTCAGTAGAAAAGATGCGGAATCATTAGTGCATGCATTTATTACAACTCGCCTTGACTATTGTAATGCTCTTTTCTCTGGCTTACCAGCTCACTCCATTGTTCGTCTGCAGTACATTCAAAATTCTGCTGCCAGATTATTCACTTCCACAAAAAAAAATAAATAAATCTGCTCACATCACCCCTATTCTATTTAATCTTCACTGGCTGCCTGTATCTATTCGTGTGCAATACAAAACTCTTCTGCTCACCTTTAAAGGCACTCAAAGGTCTTGCTCCCTCCTATCTTTCTGACCTACTTTCTTCTTATATACACACCTTCTCGCACACTCCGGTCTTCTAATTCTGAAGTTCTTTGTGTACCTAGGTTTCGCCTATCTTCAATGGGTGGCAGGTCCTTCTCGGTTACTAAACCCAAACGTTGGAATTCACTTCCCCGGCACTCAGAACAGTCACCCCTTTCAGAGAATTCAAATCAAAGCTTAACTTATTTGTTTAATCAAGACTAGCACTAATTTACATTGTATTTGTCGGTTTGGTTTTCCATTTCTGTCTTTACTACATAATCCGTGTTACATGCAACAGCATTATTTGTAACCGAATTGGGCAAATGTCCAGTGAAACGGTTTCTTTGTAATCAATATTTGCTGCTTCGGTGTGCCTTGTAGAGCATCCTTGAGCTTGGGAAAGGCACTATATAAATTAAACCATTATTATGAAGCCTTAACAAGCTTTAGTAAAATGAACGGTTAGCACAATTGTTTGTAAGGTAACAACCTTCACAGCTGTGCTGAATTAACGTTCAGTGTTTGACATGTGACAACAGTTAAGCATACTACTCTGAAACATTTGTTGCTTATTGTAGACAGTTTCACACTATTCTTAAAACAAAAAGCACTGTTCTGGGCAGTAAAGCCACTTCGAACACAGCCAATGTTCACAGGTCTGTCTTTAAAGGTAAAGTTAATTTCCCTACTGAGAAAAGGGAACTTTTCGTTCTTGAAAGAGAATAGGTACAGTAGGACTACCAGTTTCCCCACATTTAGAGCACATTCAAAACCAAATGGGTTAAACTAGACAACACAAGAATAAACTTCTCCATTTATTGAAAACCAGCTAAAGTCTTCTGTCGCTCTTGAACTATTACTGGACCAAGTGAGGCCTTGCCTTCCCACTGAATGCCTAGAAAAAGCAAATACCAAGTTAAGTAAAGCACTTGACGGGTCAAAAGCAATCTTCAAGCAGCTACCTACCCCCAAAAGGAGCAGCATTTCCTCCATCAGGACCACATGTTGAGTCACAGCAACCACAAGCCTGGTGGTTCCCATCAGCAGCAAACCACCTGCAACAAGAAAAATCAGACACGGCACCATCAACGTGTTCTTAAGTAGCATGAACATACCCGTTGGAAAAGGAACAGGATTTGCGGAGAGCATCACTGGGTGCAGAAGCAAGAGTGGCCTTCACAATACACGTTATGTAGATCTGCAAGAGACAGGTATGAGGTCACAAAACCAAAACAGATGGGAAGAGGTCAAATTCATTCAACATAGTACGTACAGAAGGACTGTATCCTCC